TCTGGGGTCTGTAGTAGGCACCGCCCTACCACAGGCACTGAACATTGCCATATCCACATCTTTTAGCTATGAGGAGCCTGACTTAACCGTCCCTCGGTCACAGAAATGAAAACATTGAGATAAGGAGGAACGCTGGATGTGACTAGTCAGTAAAGTATTGTCACTCACATGCCGTCCAGTAAGAAGAGCAAGAAGAACACAGGCCTGAGTGTCAGCTGCAGCGTTCCTCTTCTTCATAAATCTGGGGAACTTCACAAGCTGGTCCCTTCAGACAGATCGCTCGGTTCCCTTTACTTTCTTCTTTTTACCCACTTCCCTCTCCTTCCATCCCTGGGCTTCTTTGGCCTGTTCTTTTTGATTCACCTCCTGCTACTTCTGTGCCCGCCTTTCTTAGGGATCGTTGCTGAGTCCTTTATTAATTCTGTAATTACAGGCTTCTTCATGGATCTCCCCTTAGGCCCTGCCTTCCCCATCCACCTTTTATTCCCTCTCATATATATTTTTTAAATGTTCTTATATACATAACACGAAATTTGTGGTCTTGACCAGTTTTAAGTGCACGGTCAGTAGCATTACATACACTCACCTTGTTGTACAGCCATCTTTCAAACTCTTCACCTTGCAGAACTCCACCAAGCGACCTGCGCATTGGTTTCATTAATGAGGTTCTCGGCATAAAAGTTAGCTAGCAGAGATCGAAATAAAACACACAGACTCAGTTACCTTTTTCTATGACCAGGTCCGAGACGGCTCCCCTCTCTGGCTCCAACCTCGAACCACCCGTAGGGTGGCAAGGATTACTCAGGGCTAGCAGGAGAGAGAGAGAGCGAGCACGCAGGGAGTAGGCTTTTATTGGGGAACAAGAAATTCAGGGGAGAATTCCATCCAATGAAGGTTGAGGGGGGGCCGCACTCCAAGGTCAGGGTCAGTGATTGGGCCCCCGGGGTCAGTGGTCAGTCACACCCCCACACGGACGGGTTCTCTCATCAGGAGAGGGCCGGGAAAATTCCGACACAGCCAGAAGCCTCAGACCCAAACCGGGAGTCACCCAGTCACGCGTGAGGATGGCTCTCCACACAGAACTGAAACTCTGCATCCACTAGGCAACTCCCCCTCCCTCAGCCCCCTGGCAACCGCTGTTCTACTTTCTCTTTCTATTCTAAGTACTTTAACTAAGTACCTCATGTAAATGGAATCATGCAGTATTTGCCCTTCTGTCGACTGTTTATTTCACTTAGCACGTTGAACTCCAGGTTCGTCTATGTCATAGCGTGGGTCAGAATTTCTTTCCTTTCTAAGGTTCAGCAATACCCCATTGTATGTCCATACTGTGTTTTGTTATCTGTTGATGCATCGGTGGGCACTTGGGTGGCTTCTCCTTTGACAATTTTGAATAATGCTGCTGTGGACATGAGTATCCAGCTATCTCTTTGAGACCCGGGTTTTGGTTATTTTGAGTACATACCCAGAAGTAGATTCCAGCAGGATTATGTAGAAATTCCATTTTTTATTGTTGGAGGAACCGCCATACTGTTTTCTATTGTGGCTGCACCATTTTATCTTCCTGCTAACAGGGCACAAGGGTTCCAAGTCCCCATATTATTGTGGTTTCTGTATTTTGATAGGTGCTTCCCTGTGGAGGTGAGGTGGTATCTCATTGTAATTTGGAAATGCATCTACCTCACTCATGATCGGTGATTGGAAGCCTTTTTTCATGTGCTTGTGGCCATTTGGCTGTCTTCTGTGTAAAAATATCTATTCAAGTTTTTTAATCCATTTCTTAATTGAGTTCTTTGGTGGTTTGTCTTTTAGCTGTCTCAGCCCCCTTTGTGGAGGGAAGTCTCACTCTTCCCATGGGTACAACTCCCTCCTTGCTGTGGACCGTGGACCTGTCCTACATCCTAAGTCCCTTCGTGACATTGTTGTCGGTCCAGTCATCTAAACTAGAAACTTAAAGCTCCTTTCTGATTCCCTGTATCTTATTTCTCAGGGTCAGTTGGTTGCCAGATCTGTCAGTTGTCTCCACCAGTTTGGTTTAATCCATCCTCTCCCTTCTGGTGTTACGGCTACCGCCTGGTTCCAGGTGTCCAGTGTAACCTCATGCCAACATATGGTGAGGTGCTGACTCATCTTTCAGGTCTGGTGAAATCTCAGGGTGGGGTAGCATGGGCAAAGGGTGGCATCAAGTTTGACAGAACATATTTAGTAATATAACATATTTGTAAAATGGGAAAAAAATCCTTTTTTTGGAATACATGGAGTAATAAAATATTCTTGAGTGGGCTGTGTAAAGTTAGATTCCTTTGTGGATAGCAATTTATAATATTATACTGATATGTGCCGCAGTCTGGCTGGGCACAATTCAGGAGCCACTTGTCAAAAGAAACGAACTTTATTTTTAGAACCACACACGCCAAACCACACAGCTCCTCAGGAAAAACCTTCAGAGCCCAACTGCCACCACTGGCTCCCCACAAGCCTCTCAACCTCCCCCACTCCTCCTGCTCTTGAGGCTGATTGGCTGGGTCGCATGGGCAGAGCCAAAAAAAGTCCCCCAATGAGCAGCTCCGTGGTCTGAAAGGGCAGGGAAACAGCCCAATGAGCATCACCGCAGAGGAGCCAATCATTTGGCAGCTAGAAGTTTGCTGGGGCCCCTGTGAGCCAATCATCAGCTGGCAGCTGGAAGTTTGCTGGGGCCCCTTTGGCTGTGGCTCTCAACAGATATGAACTAATATTTGTTGAGAGCTTAGTATATGCCAGGCAGCAGGTGCTTTACAAGTACTATGTCACTGAACCTCACAACAGTCTTATAAGGTGGATAGATGTTTATCCAGAAAAAGAAGCTGAGGTACAGAGAGGCCCAAGTCGCACATCTGGTAAGTGATAGGAGTATTATTCAAACTCTGGAAGTTTCAGACTAGTGAGAGGAAGTGGGAGGCCTTTTCTCTTCTCCAGAAGGGGTCATGAGCTAAATGGGCCTCAGAAAAACTGGCCTTCAGGGAAAGTTCCAGGATCCAAATCCTCTAACCCCCATCCCCCGTCTCACCAACTGGAGAGAGTTCTCCCGAATATGCCTTTGTGGACCCCAGGCCTGTGAGCTGTTCCTCCTGGGGGTCTAGGTACCTCCTTGCCTCTCACTTGCATGTACTTCTCCCTCTTCACTGTCATGTCCCACTTTCTCATCTTCAAAGTCATCTCAGTGCCACCTCCTCGAGGAGGCCTGACCCTTCACCCAGTTTGGACTCCTCGCTGCTCCTCCTCCTCCGTGTGAAGTGAAAGTGCACGTAACTTCTCACCTCTGCATCTAGGCTTGTTCCTTTTTCTTCTCAAAATAACTGCAGGCAACTTGAGACAGAAGCTGCCTGTGAGACCTAAGCACCTTCGTGTTGCTCAGTGCCAATGTGGAGTGTGTTGTCGTAATGACAAGCAGATATTTTCTGCATGGAGGCTCATGAAGGCTACTTTGAAGAAGTCTGCTTTTTCTTTTAGAAGTTTCTTTCTCGTAAGTTGCCAGGAAGTCTTGATGTGTCTTTTTCTCCAACTCACCCTTGTCTCACTCAAGTTTAGTTCTCACCAAGCACTTTGGAACCCCTTGCCGTGGCAGGTAGCCAAGCACTGAGAAGGAGTCCGTGCCCTCGGGCCTGGCCTTGCTGTGTAGGCCTTGTTCTGACCAGCTCTTTGCCCATAGGCTTGGTGCTACACTTCCTTATTGGCCGAGATTGGCTCTTGGGCACAGCTTGGAGACATTCAGGTGCCTTGTCCTCAGCACACAAAACCTACAGAGTCTCATTGACCCAGCTTTGGGCACGTCGACTCACTGGCCACCAACAGGGCCTAGTGGAGCACTTGAGTGAGGAGAAGCAGTCCTTGTGCTTTGGGAACCGCTGTGACCAAAAGGCCCTTGCTGTGGATGAAACTCACCAAAACAAAGTGAAAGTGAAAGTCCTCGTAACTTCTCACCTCAGCATCTAGGCTCCTGTGTCAAGTGCCATGGTTCCCCCCCCCCCCCCCCCGCCTTTTTTTTAAAAAAATACTTCACATTCTTAAAATACCTTTATTTTACTTACATATTTATTTATTTTTTTGTGTAGTGCTGAGGATTGAACCCAATGCCTCACAAGTGCTAGGCCAGTGCTGTACCACTGAGCCACAACCCCAGCCCCCCTTCCCCCACAGTTCCTTTTTTTCTTTTTAACTTTATTTATTTATTTATTTTTATGTGGTGCTGAGGATGGAACCCAGTTCCTCACACATAGGAAGCAAGCGCTCAACCACTGAGCCACAACCCCAGCAACAGTTCTCTTTTTTGAGAAAGTGTTCTGGACCTCATTAAGAAAATCTTGAAACTGCCTGCTCTGTTTTCTCTTGATACACAAAAATTGTTTCCCTCCTATTCTCTTAGGCCTAACCTCACTGTCACTTCATTTGTGATTATCTGCTATCTAGAGGAACATGAGCAAGTCTCCAGTGTGTGTGTGTAACGGAGGAGTTCGGCTGAGGAAGCTGGTGGGTGGTCTTATTATTGCAGTTGATTCTCTGATTGATTAGGAAAGGCAACATGAAACATCGTAAGAAACGGACTAATTCACGGGATCTGGGGAAACCTATTTCTCTTCTAGTTCCAATGTGGGGCACAGGAGAAAAGCAGGGCAAAACCCAGTACCTGCTATGTATGTGCAAAGTCTGCACACATTTGTTCAGTTTGGATGGGTAAATCTTGAAAGGAACCAAACATATCTGACTCTGAGTTGCTGTGTTTCTTCTCCCTGCATGTCAGTGGTGGTTTCCCGAGTCTCTGTTGATTGGAAGATTTAGGTTAGGAGAGCCCTTTCCAGAGACCCTCTTCAGACCCAGAAGCCCAGATCCATGTCTCCAAGGGAGGGAGCCTGTTGGTGACATTTTAATGTAGCACTTTGGCCTCCCACAAGTCTGTGAGCAGAGGACCCCCAGGCAGGAGTAGCCTGTCACAGAAAGCCCCCGTGTGTGCCTCCCGCTTCCAGGTGCCTGCAGACGTGGAGAAATGTCAGGATCGGATGGAGTGCTTCAATGCCGACCTGAAGGCCGACATGGAGAGGTGGCAGAACAACAAGAGGCAGGACTTCCGGCAGCTGCTCATGGGGTTGGCTGACAAGAACATCCAGTATTATGAGAAGGTAAAGGTGGGCCCGCCAGAAACCAGAGGCAGGGACCCTGCTCCTCCCATGTCCCTCCTTTCTTCTCTCCATCTGACCTGTGTTTGCTTGCTCAGCTGTGGGCCCAGTTGGGAAGCAGAGCCCCGGCACTCACTTGGGCTCCCCTCGCAGCACGCACTGTGGAAGCGGCAGCTTCATCTTCTGTGCTGGCTGGTCCTAGACCCTGGCTGCCTCCGAGTCAGTCAGACCTTCGGTGCACGGCTGCTGCCAGACGGTGGAGGCCCAGGATTACTTCACACTGCCCTGTGGTTCCACATACAGGGCTCTTCGTTGTCATTGTGCCACAGACCCCTTTGGTCATCTGATGAAGCTGATACGCCCATTATCAAAATACTATCTGTTTTTAAAAATAGACTTAAAAATACTGCTTCTAAATACCTAAGGAAATTTACAAAGGGAAACAGTTCTATTAAGAACAGTTTTATTCATGGATCCCCTTGCTCAGGTTAAGTCCCAAACCCCCACAAATGGTGGTTCCTGTCAAACTACAGCCCTTCTTCTCAGTCACAGTTCACCCCTAGTGTATCCACCTCTAGATCATTTCTGCTAAAGAATCCTAATGTTCCTTAAAAGCCTAAAATTAGAGAGACTAGCACGATCATAGTTCAACAAGTAACCTGTGGGCACGACATCAAACTTGGAAACACAGCAGCCTCCCAGCTGTGGACAGGGACTGACCTGGCTCTTCCACCACAATCCTAGAAACAAACTCAACCTAAGTGACAAGAATTCATCTTTTTTGAGGCTTTGATGGTTTGGCTGCTGCCCGGAGGCTGTGTGTCTGCATTGTCTCCAGGTCTCTTGGGTGAAGGCTAAGGAAACAGGCATGGAGTGGCTCTCCCTGGTCAGCTCTTAGGAAGGGCTGATTGACAGAGGGAGGAGAAGCATACTTCCTTCCTCTTGGCCTTTCTCATGGAGCCTCTGCTGCGGTCCTGGGCTGGCGCTAGATCAGAAGTGTTGCTTGTGTCATCTCATTAAATTCAAGCCTCACTGTCACTGCTGGGAGCTTTAGGACTCTCAGTTGAAAGCTCAAGAAACCAAGGCCCAGCAAGGTTTAAAAAGCTCTGTCCGAGCTGACACAGCCTGTGAGCGAATGCACTAGGTTTGTAGAACTGTTGGATCCAGAAGTCTAGGTGGTTCCATCACTGTCCGCCTTGGGGATGGTTCCCTCAAGAACAGCACAGAGGTGCCCAGAGGTGGAAAGTTCACCCCGTGTGAAGTTGAAGCCTCATTCCTCTGCTTACCGTGCTGTTGGAAAGGTGCCTTTTTGTGCCTCTCTCTTTTTTTTTTTTAATCTGTGGAATGGGAGTGATCCTTCTCCATGGAATGATTGTGAAGATACTTGAAACAAAGCACCTGAGCATGCCCAGCACATGGTAGGCATTTAGTAAACATTACTTCCTTAGTAAATGTTACTGTTCAATGGCTGTCCCACTACTCTAACTAGATCCTTTTGTCTCCTTCACTCTTCTGAAGCTGAATTCCAGCAACCCCACAGCCCTAGGGCGCAAAAACTCGGGTCTAATGTCGGGGTCTTCCCATTACACCACTACTAACAGGGTCGCTATCTTGAGGTGTGGTTTGGGGTCTTCACATATATTTGACCAGTGCTTTTTATGTATTTCCTATGTGAAAGATACCGTATCTACAAAATTAATAAGTAAATAGCCAGACCCTTATCCTTAAGGCATTCTCAGTCTGTTGGAGGATTAAGTATTAGTGAAAGAATCCCACTACTAAGAGTGAGCTGTGTGTGCCAAAGGAAGAGAACAGGAAACCGAGAGGAAATACTAGGGGTCATAATTCAGATGAGGGAAGGAGGGGGGCAGATGGAATGGGCAGGTGAGGTCAATCTGGAAGTAACATTTGTCCTGAGCCTCAGAGACAGAGACCTGGAGCATGGGTATTCCAGACAGAGGGAGCGACATATGCAAGGTTCCTGGGGTAGGAAAGAGCGTGGCACACTCGGAGACTGGAAAGAAGAAAGTTGCTCTGGCCTCAGTTCCTCACAGCTGATGTAGAAAGACTCTTTCAGATCTGAGGTGGTGGACTTGGAAGAGTAGAACCCAGATTGCCACGGACCACGCTCAGAGTCCCTGGTGGGGAGCAAGCTCCTTGAGGCCCTCCACTTTCCTTGGGCCAGGCTTCTAAGTCTGGCTTCTCTAACCTCAGAGTCACCAAGGAAGGCGTCCAGGACCAGTTTCACCACTCCTATTTCCAGCTTGACCTGATGTGTCTCCTCCTCCTCCCATCTCCCCAGAGCTCCTCCCCAGATGACCTGGCACAGAGGTTACCCTGGGCTGCTTCTAAGAAAGGCCCAGAGCTGTGGGGCCGTCCTTCCCTTCATGCAGGAGACTGCTGAAAGGGAGAATTATTTCTGTTAAGCAGCTGCACTCAGAGGCCAGAGCCAGACTCTCCCAAGTTCTTGGCCTGTCTGAGGATCTGGGATGAAGAGATGGATGAGGGGAAAGGGCATCCGTTTACTTTCGTGTTAGAATCGTGAGTCATGAGCACTGTCGCTTAAAAGCAGTGTGTCTTGGGCCAGTGCTTTAACACAAGATTCATTTTCCTCACCTGCAAAGCAGGTGTGCATGTAAAAGATGATAATTCTACCTCACAGAGGTGTTGTGATAAGGAGTGTAAACGTGTAGTAGTGTCTGGACAGAATATAACTGCATCGTTGGGTCTCCTCCTCCCATGCCTCTTTTGGAAGATCCAAGAGTGGCCCCAACAAGCAAATCTGAGTTTGGTGGAGAAGAGTAGATTGTCCACCCACTCTGCCTCAGGTGACTGGTCCGTTCCAGTTGTAATTCTGTGCTTGTGCAAGCCCCACATACCTGGAACACTGTCACCATCCATATGGAGAGCCTAGGCCTCATCAAGGGCTTCCTGCCTGGTCTCCGTTTTGCTTTTTCAAGGGGGAAGGTTTTCTTCCAGTGACTCCCATTTCCACTCACTGGGTCTGAGCTTCAGGCACCATGTTGAATGCATGTAAGCCTTGCTGGGACACTGCTGTCTTCCTTAGAGATGGGGATGACACATTCCAAACAAACACCTGTCACCTCCCCTGTTGACAGTAGTTATGGATAATACACAAAGGTGTCATTAGACAAAGGTGACCCAGCAGGATTGGCAATGAAAGGGTCGATGAGAGCAGAATTAAGAAGCTGAACCTGAAATCTGAAACCCGTTGCTGATTCTCTGTGAATGTTGTCACTGATCCTCTGTGAATGTTGTCGTTTCAGTGCCTCATGGCGTGGGAGTCAATTATTCCACTGCTGCAGGAGAAACAAGAGACCAAGTAGATTGCTCCTTGGAACAGAGACTCTTCTACCTACACAGGACATGACACCCTGTACTGGAATGTCCCTGCAGTGCTGGAGAGGTGGCATTGGGGAAACAACGCAGAAGCACCTCTTGTTTGTGTATTTCTCTCGCCCCCTTCAACCCACAGTTGTTTTTGATTTGTATTTATTCATTGGTGGAGTCCGTATGGCTGTCATCATCTCTCAGCAAAAGAAGCATACCTCCATGTCACTACGAAGACTTGAAACCGAGCTTCACGGCAGCCCACGCCTGAGGCTGTGACTCTCAGGCTGTGACAGCTTCCTCTTTTGAGATAGCCGAGTTGCTTGTTGCAGGAGGGGACACAGATCTTGCTTTTCAAGGTCATGGAGGAGGCACTAAGAAGAGGCCTCTGGCTTGCTGTGAGTCCGGCGGCTCTGCAGTTGACCTCTGTGGGTGTTGACTTGCCTCTGCCTAGAAGGAGGTGTTGGCATCTCCACAGAAAGTCCTTAATTTACGGTGGCCTGTATCTGTGAGTATGGCCTGCTGCCTGTTTGTGATGAGTGACACGTGTTTTAAAGTCTGTGTCCACATGCATCCATGCTTGAGTGAGCAAGCCTTGTCCTTATGTAGATGCCTTGGTAGACTGGGGGATGCTGCCTGATCTTGCTTCTGATACCAGAAGGCAATAGACTAGAAACTTTCATGTAAAATGAAGAAAGGTGCATTTTTCTCTGTGAAGGCCTTCAATGTTTTTCTTTGGCCTGTAATTGTCAGCAGTCAGGATTAGACCTCTCGTTTGCAGTCAGAGTAGTTCCCCCGTTGTTGAGATCGGTGGGCATATGCGAGCCCCACCGGTGATGTCTGCTTTGTGCAGTTTGCCTTTACCTCACCAAAAATGCTGAGCTTAATGTTTCCTACCGTGTCCACTGGACGTTTGGGCAATCTTGTGGTGAGGGGGCGGCGAGTATGTTGTATTGTCATGACACAGTTGAAGTTGGTAAACTCAGTGTGAATGTTCTACATAAAGTGCTTTAACCCTTAGGATTTCCTAGTCAGGAAGCAAAGTCAGTACCAGCAGGGGCCTCAAAGGTGACAGGCGTGACATCGCGCTCTCTGCTTCTAGCTAAACTGAAGTCTCAATTTGCAGCCGAATTCCTGGGTACAGCTGGTAGTGTTTAGTCTTTGTTTCAAACTGTTACCAGGTTTACTCTTCAAATCACCACAAAACCAACAGTCAGAAAGGATCTCTCTTCAAACTCACTTTCCCCCCCCCTCCTGAAAAGAAGCTACATGTGTTATATGATTGTTCTTTCACTTGTGGCTTATGCTTATAAACCTGTAAATTTAAGCCTCAGACAGACAGTAGTTCGTTGTTTTAAATGAAGCAGTCGGGACTCTGCTTCGTATGCAAGTTAACCTGCAAATGCCGGTCAATGTGCTGCATGTTGAAGTCACTTTATTCCACTCTGACATCAGAGTTGACTTGGGGTCAGCCACAGCTGGCATACTGTTGGAGCAGCAATCGAATAGCAGAGGGGTGTTTGGCTGTTCCATGTTTGACAAAGTCAAATTTGAAATGATAATTTTTACATCCATCGGTACTTGCCTGTACTGCTAAGCTCCATCTGTGCCATTCTAAAACCTTTTGATGTGAATTTTCAGTTTGGTACAAATAGAAATGATTCACGGAAGCGGAAGGGCAAGAACAGTCCCTCTACCCCCATCTCCGATGACTCAGCATTTCATTCTACCTCTTGAACCATTGAGTTGGTGTGGGTGTGGATGTCCTGGTCCAGCCTGAGGGTGCGCTGGTAGAATTGGGGTGTGCATCTAATCGTTGACAGCCCTCTATTGATACTTGGCAGAAGACACCAGCCTGACCCAGCAGTGAATATTCATTTTTGGAACATGTGAAGCTTTGCTTCGTGGAATGTGTGCTTTAAAAATGTCGAAGGTAGCAGATGTTTGGAAAGAACCATGGAAAGAGCTACAGGGAAACCAGAATCCGAGAACCTGCTAGTTGCCAAATTCCAGAGTCATTCCTGTATAACGGTTACTTGGGAAGGAAGGCCATCCCTCAAAAAACACGCATCGGTCTCCTTGCTGGGAGACATGGGAGGGGGATCCACAGTCTGTCTCTGTGGAAGGCAGAGGTCTAGCTCTGCGGGGTTCGGGCTCCTTGGGACTTTTTCTTGCGCTTTGTCTGGGCCCCATGTGGTGCTCTGTGCTTTGAGACACCAGGAAGAGCTGCAGCATTGCCACCTCCTTCCTCCAGGCATGCCGTTGGTAGCAGAGTCAGGAAAACCCTGTATGTTAGACTTGCTTGGAGAAATGGACCTTCCCAGGAAGGCATGTTTGTCCCTGACTTCAGACTGGCATCTGACAAGGTGGGGAACTCTGCCCAGAAGGAAGAGGGCGGGAAAAGGGAGCGAAGGAGGCTCTCCAGCCCTCCCAACTCCATGGCTCCCTCTTGCCCCTGAAGCTCAGCAGTCCCAAGCACTGGTCTGTTTGTCTTGATCGAGTAAAATGGAGATTCACTATGAGAAGCAGAACTGGGAGACTTCTGTGCCAAAGACTGCCTCAGAGAGGCCCCAGTACCCCATCCGCCTTGAATTCACAGAGCTGCAATGCTGCGATCACCGACTCCTCTCATATTTATCATCCATGAGATTTTTGCTTAAGGGTGCCCTTTACCTGGGGCAGATGGACAGACATGTGTTGAGGAACAATGAAAAGTTGCCCCACACAACTGTCCAGGTCCTGAAAAGAGAAGAGTTTCCTTCACCCAGGTTAAAAGTCCCGGGATGAAGGCAGAAGAGAGAATTCCTAGAAGCCAGAGCAGATTTTAGAGATGCAAATGATGTCAAGCAGAAAGCAGTTGTGGTGTTGACAGCTGTGGACATTGCCTTTGCTCGTCAGTGTGGGGGTCCATAAGAAGATTCTGAGCCTCTGCTCAGAGCAAGGAACCACTGCTCTGAAATGAGGAGGGAACACACGACCCAGCCCGGTTTGGGTTGGGTTTCATCCTTCGATAAGGCTTTACCAATGATGGCTGGCAAACTTTTAGTGTGATCAGGGAGATGATGGGTTTGGTGTTTCACCAGACACCTCTCTCTAGTTGAAATAACAAACAGCCCTGCTCTGGGGATCGTGGTGAATGTAAGATGTCTGTTTTCATGCCAAATTTCAGCACCCCCAGAGTGTCCTCTGGATCTTGGTCGGAGGTGTTCTCTGGGTTGCCCCTTCCCAAGGGGAACAGAATGGTCGCCTTTATTGAGGGACCAACAGGAAGTTCCAACTCAGAGGTGGGCATGATGGCCCCTGGCAGTTGCAAGGGAGATTTCCCTCTTAGGAAGGGAGCCCAAGGGACACCTGGAGTGTGTGTGGCTCAGTCCTGCCATTGATAGTGTTGAAGCCAAAGGTAGCTGGCTCTGTTTTGATAAGACTGTCTCTCTCCTGGATCCGGAGCTGGTGATTGGGGAGGGAGAACACAGTCAAGAACAACCTCCAGGCTGTGTGGGCCTCAGCTGTTTGGGTCTTGGGGTGGGCTGGAACTGGCTAGTTGCCGTTGCTAGAGACCCTACAGGGTGATTCCTCCCAGAAGCTCAGCTGCCTGTGGTCAGGGCAGGGCTCATTTACTGGGACCTCACCTTCCCAGACACCTACTTTAAGGGCTTGTAGCAACTGAGTAAGTTAATTATCTGGCTGGGGTGACATCGCTCTGGCCATCCTCGTTTATGGGAGGATATTGGAATTTGGGTTTGCCTTCTCCCTTTCAAAAGCCCTCAAGATGACAGCAGATTGGACATGCCCTATCATCGCTGAGGTGTCTTTTCAAGCCAGATAACAGGTGGCATTTACTAGTACATTTGAGGAAAACGTCCTCTCCTAGGCCAGACTTACAGACAGATTGGGGTGTATTGGAATTGCGCTCCTCTTCCTTGTTTTAATAATCTAGGAATCAAATTTTTCACCACCCTACTCTGTAGGTTTTTGTTTTAAGTATCCCCAACTTGCACATATCGGAGTGTGCAGGAGCTGTCTGCATTAAAGGAAAAAAAAAGTTGGAGTGGGGCTGTGTTCTAGGGGGTGGACTGCTCTCTTAATCATTTGAGTTTGAAGTGTGTCCTGGGCATGACTGTCCAACCCTTAACTATGTGGCAGAAAAATGTTATCCAGGTAGTTTGTCCTGCTAGTCTGTGAATAAGTGCTATGAAAAACAATAACTTTTAATAAACCAATAAGATATTTGTTTCATATAAACATTCTGTGTATTTAGAACTTGAAAAATCAACAAATCCAGAATTTAAAAATAATGCCACAAGACTGTTAAAAGCCTAACTCTACTTCTGAGAATTTTTCAAGACCTAATATGCCTTATTCTTCCACTAGTGTTTTTAAGATTCTGGATAGAAAGTTTTAGATATATAGTCAGCCATTCAGCTTAAATACTAGAGATCTAACATAGTCAGTCCTCAGTCCTCTTAAAGAAAAAAGCCAGAAAGTGAGGGTCAGAATGAGGTGGCCTTTGGGGAGGAGAGAAGTAAGCGTAGCTATTGCCAAATGATGTTTTTAATAATGCAAGGAAGCCCAGGAACCACACCACCTCTTGTTGTTTTAAAGTGTGAAATATTAATTCAGTGCCTTTTGGCATACTTTTGATTATAGAGGTTACAGTATCAGCATTGACAAATCACAGATCCAGAGAACTCTATAGATTATGACAGTATTGAAGGCTTACCCTGATTCTGCAGAACAGCTTTTGAAGGTACTGTGAGGATCTCAGAGGGGCATGTTTTGGATGGAAAATCTCCACAGGTTGAAATGCCAAAAACATATTCTGTTGACTCACATAATTGAGTCCACTTCAGCAAAGCTTTTGTTATTAAACCAGAGATGAAGAGTGTTGTGTATGTGCCTCTCCCAGGAGGGCTGTTCCCCCCACCACCACCACCAAATGATTCTGGGCTCTTTCTAGGCTGGGCCAGAGCAACCAACACCTACCTGTCCACATTCCTATTGGACAGGTTTGTTCACGGTCGTAGATCAATCTGTCTTTCAGAAATGGTACTAGGAGGAGGAAAGAGAATCACGTATTCCTCTGTGTAGAAGTGGGGAGGGGGAGAAACAGATTGCAGACCAGAATGTGAATCCGTATCATAAATCCGTATCATGTCGCCTGGGCCTTCGTCGGGAACAAACCAGCATCTCTTAATGGTCAGCACTGTCCACCGGACACCCCTGAGCCTGTGCGCCTATCCCATCTCTGTGAGTTGGGATGCATTGAGAGATGACCTACCCCTGATATACTCCCACGAAATCAACTGCCAGCAAACTTTCTAACTTGTATTTTAACTGTTAAGAAGAGATTAAAATTTTACTTAGGACATTTCCAAATTATGGACTGTGTTTTTTTTTAATTTTAGAAATTATTCTTTATGTTTAAGACTTTAAGAGAAAAAGAAAACTCTTTCTGAGGTGTTGATGAAGTCCTCTGTGTAAATGTGTCGTCTTCTCTTCATGCTGCCATTAAGCCAAAACAAAAGCTGTGAATATAAAAAGTGCTCAAGAAGAGTGTGTGTAGATGAGAAAGCAGTTTATTTACAGACCAGAAGTCTTTATTTCATTAAGCTACCAAATGTTAGAAAGAATGTCACCTTTTTTTCTTGTCACTCAGAGATTATGGAATGGGGGAGGAGAGTTGTTTTTGTTGAATTTTTGATGCTGGCACGAAGTTTTTTGCCCACTTTTTTTTCATGTTATCTGTGTATTAAAAAATCTGTTTGTTGTTGTTTACTATGGAATTAGTATTTTACATTTTGAGGTAAATAAAGAATTTGTATTGCTTGATAAACTATTAGCTTGTAAATTCAAACAAAGTTTCTTTACCTCAATTAACTTAAAGTAATGGACCAATAAATCTATAAAAGATGCTTTCTTTACCTTGACTCCTGTTCTCTTTTGTACCATTGTAGGACTGGACAATATGATTGCCACCTCTTTTGTTTTCTTATTTTCTGAACAGAAAATAATTTGCCTATAAGAATCAAATATACAGAGCAACAGGAAAAATATAGCTATGTAATTGAACTATTTTTGTTTTCTAGTTCTTTATCAATCCAAACTCAGTTTACCCTCTCCTACATCTTACAAATTGGTGCTAATTTGGGGAGATGAAGAAATTACCTAGTATAGTGACCATGGTGATTGACAGGTAGCTGACAGCCAGCCCAGGCATTACAGGAGAGATCTCTTCCTGCACCATCCCATGGCAAAGCACATTATATTCTTGGCCAGGGCTAGTCACTTCCTGACATTTTGCTTGCTAGGAAGTTTTTGAAGAGTTTGTAGGTAAAGAAGAAATGCCTGTGGCTCATCAGTGTTAGAGTGTCTTGCTCAGAGGCCAGAGTGCTTGTTTGTTGGAGTCCAGCTCCGACAGGGGGTCTCAGGAGATGAATGGATGGTGAGGAGTCCGCGAAAGGGGGTGGAGAAACAACACAGACACAAAAGTGAAGATGCTGAATCCCAATCTTGTGAAGTTAATCATATGCACTTTTCATTTTGGCAGGCTCACAGTACTTTGTGGTTACAAAACAGAAATCATTATTCAAAGAAACAAAATAATACGTAGCTACAATTAGATAAGAAGAATGTATCTTGGCTTATGCATAAGCAAGCATTTTTACTTTCAGTTCATGTTTTGCTTTGAGCTGTTTCTGCTTAGTTACCTTTTAATAAGAGTTAGAAATGTCCCAGACTATTGGCCTATACCTTGACTATTCTTTCTTGACTTACTGACTAGAACCGGCGCAGCGGTTATGGCAAGTGGTTAACTTGAAAAGAGAGGCTACTAATTTTAATCAAACAAGAGTAAGAGCACAAACCATTGTGCACAGGAACAAGAACAAGTTGCCCAGTCCTAAGCACTAATCTGTCTTCTTAATATTAATTCTTCTTCTCTAGATTTTAATTTAATTTCTCAAAAACTTCCTTGACTGTTTTTCCTACAGGGGGTTTCTCATTAAACATTTACAATTTACATTCCACAGCTGAATATTGCATTTAGAGCAAAGAGATTTATTCTTTAGAAGTAGTTGCATTAATTGGGAAAGTCATGTTTTTTCCTTCATACTTAATGGTCATATGAGAAGTTGCAATCATACTTATTAAAGGAATACAAAACCAAACCAGCCCATTCCCAGAAACCTACTGCGCTCCTCCAGAGGATGGACGCCTTGCGTCATCCCCCTCAGTAGGGCCTTACCATTGCCTGGGTCAGGGGAGGGACCAGCACTTGTTTATGTAACAGTGTCTATGTAACAGTGGCGGTGCTTTGGAAATGGACCTGATAATGGTGCTAAATTGCCTTTCTGAGAGTAGACATCATTAATCAAAGACAGCAGTCGTACAAAGTGAGGCAGCAATGGGGCTGGGGATTTTGCTCAAGCGGTAGCGCGCTCGCCTGGAATGCATGCGGCCCAGGTTCGATCCTCAGCACCACATATGAACAAAGATGTTATGTCCGCCGAAAACTAAAAAATAAATATTAAAATTCTCTCTCACTCAAAGTGAGGCAGCAAGATGGGATAAGAGGGAGATTTGGGATCCAATCTCAGTCTTTCTATTTACTAACTGACTTAGGCAAGTCACATCTCTCTGACCCTTCAGGATTATGATCTTTGAAAAGAAGATAAGCCTTCCTAGTAGGGTTGTTGGAGGGATGGGCTGTAATGCATTCAAAGCCCCTAAGTGTACAGTGGGCACTCCTTTTGAAAAAACACTTCCTGTTGTTTAAATATGGCCAACTTATATATTAAGGATAACAACCTTTCTGTTTTTAAGTAGACCTTTTTTCTTTCTTTTCGAGAAGACATTGAGATAGGATGCTGAAGGCCTGGGGAACAGATAGGACTAGATTGAAAAAGCCATGGCAGGAAGTGATAAAGAGATGGCGGAGGAAAAGAGCAGCTGGATTTAAGAGATTTCTGTGGTGAGCCAACGGGTCAGGTGATTTGGAAACTTCCAGGCTGGGAGCTGAAGGTGATGCTCTTACCTGAAATCAATTGGGAGAGAACAAATAAAAGATATAGTAGGCGTGAGGTGGTGGAGTGGGATAAGAATAATTAGTTTTGGATGTATCCGGAGGTGGAGATGTTGACTCAGCTGTTGAAAATAGAGTTCTGGAGTCCATGGGAGTTGACCTGGTTATCTGAGGAGAGGATCAAGGACTGGGCCTCGAGAATTAAGGAAGCAGGGAGAAGAGGAGGAAGACTGAAGAAAAGTTCTTAGAGGAGTCAGCTCTATAGGTTGGAGTTGGTGGTTCAAGAATTTGGCAGCTTACGGAAACGTCAGCTGTTGGCCCCATTCCTAGAGTTGGATTTGAGGGGGGACCCCCAGTTGGCGCGTCTCACAAGTTCCCAGGGAATGCTGATGCCACTGGTCCAAGAACCCCTGGGTTAGAGCAAATAGTAGCAAGGTCACTGGGGACAGGTGAGAAGGTTTGAAACTGCTACACTGATGGCAAGTAGGGTTGAAGAGGAACCAAGATCGGGGCCTTGAGAGTCTAGTTCAGGCTTCTCAACCACAAGCTGAGAGCAGGATCGATGTTGGCAAATAAGGAAATTCCCTGGCCCTTAAAAGCAAGTCCTTTGAGAGCAGGAATGGAGAAGCTAATGATTAGATTCATTCGGGGTGGCAGGGAAATGGTCAGGGACCCAGGTGGGAGGCAGGAGTCAAGAGGAATGAGCATGGCCTTGACTCGTCCCATCAGCCTCGCTCCTGTTGCTATCTCAGTGAGGAGCTCTGTGCCCTGCATGGCCCAAGTGCTGAAGTTGAATTATTGCCTCACCCTCTGCAGTCCACCAGCCACCAACTCTGGTTGACCTCTAGCCCCCTATCTTTCTCGACGCCCCATTGCTCTTCCCGCACCCATTGCTGCTTGTCCAGGGTGCCAGCCCACGGCCACTCTCACCTGGATCACTGCAGGGCCTCTCGTCTCTTTTTTGCACATCTGTTTTGTGCTGCTCTTCCCACAGAGCTTCTGGAGTGTTCTAAGATGCACATGTAAGAATTCTATGAATGCTCAACCGCTATCCCCATTACTCTTACAAACCTTTTGGACATCTTCTCTGCTGTCCCTCCTCACTGCTCCAATCTCATCCCTCTGTCCCATCCTCCTTTTTTGCTCCCTTCACATTGAATTCCTATATCTTAGGCAAATACCTGGAATGTCCCTCAACATCTGGCCTTGGCAACTACTTACCCTTCCTGTCTTATCATAGATGTGATTCTTGGAAAGCCCTGCCTTCTCCCAGATCTGGGTTATATGCTCCCCTCTGTTGACATTTGTTTTTGGAAACATCACTGCCTGCTCTTCTGTCCCCTCCACCTGCTGGACAGTAGGCTGTGTTTGGGCAGGAAGAGTCACACCTTGTTCTCAACTGTATCTCTGCACCTAGCATGCTGTCAGGACCTAAGTAGATGTGCTATAAAGGTTTGTTCACTCCCTGCAAGAGTTTAGAGATACAAACTCTCTAAGCCCAAATGCCCTGACATTTGAGTGCATCCTCTAACTCTTGTGTTTCACTGCAGTTTAAGAATGTCATCACTGGGGCTGGGGATATAGCTCAGTTGGTAGAGTGCTTACCTCCCATGCACGAGGCCCTGGGTTCAATTCCCAGCATCACCAAAAAAGGAAAACGAATGTCATAACTATTATGTACAACCACAAGAATTGGATCCTAATTAGGATAAGTTATACTCCATGTATGTACAGTGTGTTAAAATACACTCTACCAGGGGCTGGGGATGTGGCTCAAGCGGTAGTGCGCTTGCCTGGCATGCGTGCGGCCCAGGTTCGATCCTCAGCACCACATACAAACAAAGATATTGTGTCCGCGGAAAACTAAAAAATAAATATTAAAATTCTCTCTCTCTCTCTCTCTCTCTCTCTCTCTCTGTCTCTAAAAAAAATACACTCTACTGTCATGTATATTTGGAAAGAACAATAAAGAATGCCATCACTAGCATTCAGGGTGGCACACACCTATAATCCCAGCAACTCAGGAGGCTGAGGCAGGAGGATCAAGGCCAACTTCATCATCTTAGTGAGACCCTAAGCAATGAAAAAAAGCTTGGGATGTGGCTCATTAGTTAAGTACCCCAGGGTTCAATCCCCCAGTCCCTCTAACCTGAAAAAGAATGCCATAGCCCTAGAGTTATAGGGGGAGTCTGACCGGGGAGAAGATGATTCATGCACTCATACTATGAATGTTGATTTTATTTGGATAAATCTGCATTTATATATGTAAGTAAAATGGACAATAAAAAATAATTCAGAATAAAATGGTTCTTCTCATATCCCCTTTCCCTTCATACTTCTGCTTTGGGAGGTATCGGTGACTGAAAATATTCAATTGAATATTCCACTAAGGAAGCTCTTAAAATTGTTTCTTAAAAGCAACAGTGAGGAGGGAACATTGCCGCTCCGGCCTGAGCTCCATTTCTCTCCTGAGTGTTCAGCTAACAAGGCCTCAGGAAAGAAAGCTAGCTTTTTTTTTCAAGGTTTTATTTTAATTTGAAAGGTACTATTGTTTACACAAAACTGTTGCAAGTTCTTGTAAAATACCCCTCTCACATTCCCCCGGGCTGTTGAAAATGAAGGCTTTTGGTTCTCCCGTGGGACTTCTAGCACAGCACCCAAGTGACCAGTCAGCCTGTGTTGGTGCCCTCAAGACAATCCCCAGAAGAAAGGGTGCCCGCTGGCTGCAGCTGCCCTCTAGGGCCTGGGATGGCTGCGCACACAGCCTGCACCCACAGAACCTAACCTCTGCCTAATGGGCATCTGAAAGCTAAGAAAGTTCTTCTATCACTCAGAAAGTGCTTATTCCACCCACCAGGGACCCCTGAGCCAGAGCAGATCATTCAGAGGCTGATTCTGGCTGGGACTCGCGTTTCTTGGGCAGTGAGTTTGCTTTGGTCACCAGTTCTCTGGACCCTTCCTTGTCTTCAAGGGAACTTGGCCATGGCTGGTGTTTTCAGCTTCTGCAGGTCAGTGCCTTCATTTCTCAGTCGTGTTTCCATATTGCAACCACAGGACTTGTTTATAGGCCACGATGCTGAAAGAGTTTGCAATAGAGTTACAAGAGAACAGCTGAGGCAAGGGGGTAGCTCTTCAGGCCCGCCAGTGTTGGGGTTGTCTCTGGCTACTCTTTATCACGGGAGAGCGAGAAGCTGTCTCCATTATGGCATCAGAATGCTGACGCTGGAGGGGACTTCTCTCACTCTGGGTTCCTATCAGACCTGTGATAATGAACTTCTCCCTGTTCCCCATCACATCATGAGCCCTTTGCATCTATATTTTCTTGGAATCTCATCTCCCTCCTGCTTGATGACAAACTCCATGCAGAGCTCATGATGAGGACTGAACTTCACTAATCCAAAACAAATGAGCTGCCTCTTCTGCTTTCCATAACTCCTTTATCTCTCCCATAAATCTAGTTTTAAAATATTAGTAATAAATGGAGACATAGCAATTAGGATCTCTGGGTTGAAGTCCTGGATCTGTGTGACCTTTGGCTTGTCCTGAACCTCTGGGGCCCTCACTTTTCTCATCTGTGGGAATTCCAGGATCCTCAGGTTCTAAGCTCAAACACGGCTCTCTTGATGGATGCACAACACCCAGCACTGCTGAGTGGGGTGTGAGCTTAACTCCAAGTCTTCCAAGGGAAGCTTTAGAGAAACTCTGAACACTGACTTCCCACCTGCTATGAACCGTAAGGCCCTACCAGGGGGAGGCATTTACTGTGCTTCCAGCAAAACTCCCCGTATTACAAGGCTGGTAAGTGGAAATGCTAGACTTAGAGGCCGCCAGCACAGGGCCACATAATCGGTGCCTTGCAGTCCTGACTTTGCAGCTGATGCTGACTGTGGACACCACCGAACAGCTGCATGTCAACTGGCAGGTCCAACTTCAAGGTCAGCCAACAGGCAATTCTGGGTGTGAGTGGTCAGTATTGCTGGCTAGTAGGTGCCACAGCCTGTGGCCCAGCATTCATTCATTCATTCACTCAACAAATCCTTCTTGAGCACTTCTTATATGTCAGGCTCTTTGCTGGACACAGTGGATACATGGTACGCCACAGAGCTGTCCTCAGGGGGGCTGTGGTCTAAGGGCAAGTGTATTAAACAGATAATCACTAAGTGGTCTTCAACTATCATGCTATGAAGGAAAAACAGAGGAAGCCTTGGGAACATATAATAGAAGAATCTAATTCAGACTGAAAAGAGGAAAATCCTCTGTGAAAATGACAAGTTCGAGTCTCTGTTTCCTGATCTGCAAATGGGGACAATAGCAATTACCTCAAAGGATTGTTTAGGAAGGTTAAATTAGTTTACAGATATGAAATGATGTGTTTTGTTGTTATAATTTTTCAAAAGAGATGGGTGTGATTGAATGTGGGTTTGCAGATTGGAGATGAGGTCATTCTCTTTTTACAGCTTCTGTCTTCTCTATGCAGTGAGGCATGTGCTGAGTGCATGTGTGTTGGAGGCTAGCAGGACAGGCCAGCTGACCGCACAGGTATTTCCCCAGCACCTCTGAATTGCATATAAAGAAGAGCAAGTAGGAGAAGGCAGGTTCTCATAATAGCATGAAATCAGTTCACTTTGGTACCAGGAAAGGGCAGGACCACAGCCCCTCGGGATTGCAAATAGGCTGTTGGCAGTTCTGGCCCAGGGACCTCTCCTGGCATCAAAGAGGATTTATACTGTGATGTTCCAGCCTTCTTCACTCCGGTCCTCTTCGGCTCTAACATGCCTTCCTGGTTTTTTTTTTTTTCTTTCTTTTCCTCAATACTACGGATTGAATCTACCACTAAACTACATTTCTAACCCTTCTTTATTTTGAGACAGTGTCTCGCTAAATTGCCTGGGCTGGCCTCAAACTTGTGATCCTCCTGCCTCAGCCTGCTGAATGGGTGGGATTGCACGTGTGCACCATCTTGCTGGGCTCTTTCTGGGTTTTTCTGTCAATAGAATGTCTTTCTGAGGTCCTTTCCTGTTTCTTTCACTCAATAATGATACAGCCTGGCCTCTTTCCCTGTAAGAATTTTTCAGGATCTCATTTCTTTACGACTTCATGGGCAGGAAAGGTAATGGAAACACTCTCTTATGCTAGAAAGTTTCGATCTTGTACATTCAAATTACCTGGTGAGCTTTTAAAAATTCCTGCACCCACAGCTCTAGGCAGAACTTTGGTCTCTCTATAAAGGGTCTCTTTAGGGGACTCTGGCACCTTGGTAAAGTTCACACCTACAATTCCAGGTATATCCTTAAGGTCTCTCTACCTCCATCAAAGTCATCTAGATAGCAACTGGCTACAGAATAGCTGAATTTTTAAAAATTTCCATTTCTAATTTTAATCTATGATCTGATCAACAGTGACAGTTGTCCAGAAAACAAGCTTATCTCAAAACAAGTATCCCACAGTAAATGCTGCTGAAAGTTGCTTTATACTATCTTAGAATTTTAAAAAGGTTTTAGTTAAAGTTTTCTCTTCTCTCATCTCTCCAATGAAATAATATGAAATTCAACTTTTCATGTATGTAATAAACCATTATGGTTACACACAAAAATAAAAAAATAAAAGTAAAAAATCCCTATACCCGCATTGTGCCCCAGGTCATCTGAGGAATGTTCTCTGTTGGGGGATGGGGGGTGGTCCTGAAAGCAGTAATTTAGAGAAATTTCCCAGTTTTCCAGTGTACAGAGAACTGGCTTTGTTTGCTTGTGTCTCTGCTATTCCGCGTCTGCAAAAGTGAGCAGTTAAAGTGCCTCATCCCCACGAGCACAGGATTAGTTCCTTTCTCGAATGTTTCCAGATTCTCGCCTGCTTCTTCGACATAAGATCACAACAACCCTGTGTGGCTAATTAAGAGCCCAAGTGCACTGGAATGAAGTATCGAGGACAGCACCTCTCAAGAATGGTACTCGGGTCTCTTCATGAAGGCAAGGTAACTTATTTAGCACACCCAAAGCAAATCAAACTGCAGAAAGGAAGTAATGAATTTTCTCATGATTTCCATTTGTCAACTTGTCTGTATGCACACATAACTAGCAAAATTAGTTTGTCCTTGTTTTTTCGTGTTTGCCAGTGAATTAGAACTGAAGACTTTTCCAGTGGACAGAATTGCTTATGTGTTACTTGGCTGGCTAAGGGGCTGAGGCTCTCAAGAAATTTTTGTTGCCTGCTAGCTCAGTCAGTCCGACCTACTCAGCTAGGACTCCTATGAAAAGGCCCCAGGGCTGGACAGTCCAAGGACAGATCTGGTTCAGTCCCCTTCTAATAAATGAGACTGGGTCATGGCCCTCTGCCTGGCCAGCTTCTCTCAGTGATTTTTATCTTCACATCTTATTTTTTCTCAATTAAGAAATAAACTAAAGAGGCTTAATAATTGATGTCTTCTACCCTAGAAGGCTCAGATTTTGTGCAGCCAGGGACCTGTATTATGATGGGGTGTGAAAATTTCAAAAAGGGGTTTATCTCTGTCCTCTTGCAACTTTCCCTCAGTCGTTTTCTGCTCTGTAGCCTATAATCCCACCTTAATTGATATATAGCACTCTCATGGGTTACTGGGCATGTACCTTTAACTGCAACCCATATCAAATCCCTTGTACTTTTTTGTGGCT